CTAGGATAATGGAGGCGGGTGCAACTACTGTAATAGGTAATTTGATATAAGCAACGATAAACCATTGCTGACGAAAAGACGATTATGAGTGCAATTCAGTTGATGCTTTGTCAACAATATATATATATATATATCATATTATGGTAAAATAATTAAATAGGCATTATATATTTTCTTTAATATTGTATCGATTTTCACGTTTTTCTCGGTTTTCCCATGTTTTTTCCGAGATTATTACATTTGCTAAAGAAACTTTTGGCAAAATTTAAAAATTACTTTCTTAAAGTACCTATCCAGTTAGATTTAATTTCAGAAAATTGCTATCATTGTTAATCGGAGCAAAATTTCTTGTAGAAAAGTTGTATTTTTTTACTAATACCTACATTTTGTATATTTTCTGTTATTCCGACATTTTATCGCAGTTTTTCTCAGTTATTTTGAAAAACGATTGAAAAATCACAAAAATGACCTCCCTACACTATGGAAATAAAATTTCTTAAATTCAATTAAAATGTATTTGTTTTTTTCCTTATTTTGGTAAAAGGTAAAAAAAAAAATGCAAACAATTTCTTTTCGAATCCCGGGTTTGAACTCGTGACCCTTAATATGACAATACGTAATCATGATAATTTTACTACAACAAAGGTAAAATAAGGTTAACGTGTAATATCTGCATAATATCTGAACTTCAAAAAGCTATAATTTCAAAACTAAGTCAGTCCACTCAATTCTGATTTTACCTTCTTAAATCAACAATACGCATATGTTCGAAAAAAAAAAAAAACTGAAAAATTAGATTTATTCCACATAATTTTTTACTTTTTCAGAAAATAGCTACACTCGATACATCAGAGTAAGATTTTTGGTAGAAAAGTTTGCTTAATAAATTGAGGGGTATTTTGCAATTAAAATAGTCTGAGTAAGCGATAGTTTCTGTCTCTAAATACACCTAAAATGCATTCGTTTTTTCCTTGTTTAGGTAAAAGGGTTTTTTGTAGCACGAGATCGAACTCATGATCCCTAGGAAGAAAACAGTTATGTATAAGCTTTCAGCTACGACAAACATAATTTAGAAAAGACAATATTTAGTTAACATAACATATAATATCTGCATAATATGAGAACTTCAAAAAGCTTTAATTTCGAGACTTAGTCAATCCGCTTTTAAAATTTAACAACGTCTAGAAAAGGTAAATATAAGTTTTCTGTCCAAATTTCAAGTCTACGAATATTTTTAATTGACTTACAACAAATAACATAATTGGTAAAATAATAAAAGCATTAATATCGTACATTTCCCGTTTTTCTTACGTTTTATCCTGTATTTTCCCAGATATTATGTAAACCGCTTGGAAAATCAAAAATGGTCTCCCAAAAGTACCATATAGATAACATCTCCTTTCAGAAATGGTCCCAAGCGTATATATTTGAGCAAGATTTATCGTCGAATTTTTGTACACAGTACAAAAAAAAAATAAATAAATAAACATCTTAATAAAACTAATACATTCCTCGCTACACTCAGAATCTAAAAAAAACAAATACAAATATACAGTGGTAACATAGTTTTAAGAAAACTCCGGAGAAAATCGAAAAACGACTTCTCTAAAGTACCTTCCCAGTGAAATTTTCTTTTAAAAAAACTGCTATCATTAAAAGTTGAAGCAAAATTACTGGTAGAAAAGTTGTTTAAAGAAAAAAAATCGTAATATTATACAAATATATTTCATACATTTTCCCATTTTTACTCCGTTTTTTTTTTCGGTTTTTCACATTTTCCAACACCGATTTATTTTTAGAAAAGTTGCTACACGTAAAAATAGGAGCAAGTTCTCTGGTAGAAAAGTTGTCCACAGAAATAAAAAAATAAAAATTTTTGTAAAACCATAAGCTTCTTCGCTCCACTCAGAATCTAAAATTATTAGCAGAACTCGGTTATTAGTGTCGAATTTTCCACCAGATGAATTATTGCCGTTAATACTTCGATTTTTATAATTAGGATTCAGAACTTATTACTCTTAAAATCCATAAAAAAAAACATTTAAAAACATCCAAAAAATTCTAAAAAATGCACTTGAAAAATATATAAAAAAGCAAAAACCGTAGAAGCGTTTAAATGTCTCTTTTCTAATGACTCTAACTTATTAAATACAATTATATAACGCAACACACATTATTAACACGAAAATTATTTTGTTTATAATAAGTACAATTTTATTTAAACAAAATTACTTTTTGTTAATCATTTGTGTCATATTAGAAAATTTTACTTAATAAATAGTCGTTAGAAAAGGGACCTTTAAACCCTTCTACTATTTGTTCGCATACATTTTTTAAAGTTTTTTTTTAGGGATCTTTTGACGTTTTTAAGCTCTTTTTTGTACTTTTTTCAGTGCAATGAGTCCCGAGCTATGTATTATGATAAGATGTGAAAACATAAAATTTGAGCATACAAATGATCGGGGTTTAAAATTGAATCCACTAAGACACACCCTTGATACTTAAACCATGAATATATAAAATTGCATCCTTCTGGACTTCATTTGAGTTAAAAAAAATGCGTGTTCTCCCACAACAACGTGAAATTCATATTGAAATTCAACCAACATTTTATCATTTCAATTTCCGAGTATTATTTGGTATCTTTTGGTTCAGAGGAACCTGCTAAAAATATCCAAATGTACCGTTAAAAAGATATATAAATATATATATTTATGTAAGTAAAACAGACAAAATACTGTACAGCAGTCTATTTTTTGGGAAAATTCGATAAAAAAAGAGCTGAGACTGTTGATGGGTGCAATGGTGGACTGGTCACGAGAGTTAGAGAAATATCTCTCTTGATAGCGGAATCATAATAAATGTAGACATAAGTTCACGGTGCATCAAATACCTATTTACATCATATATAGAATTTGATAGATGAAATTCCGATAAGTACTGTGTAAACATTTTTGTAAACGAATCTGATACCGATTATTGATATCACTGTAATATTTTCTGTTCCTATGTTCTTAAAAGCCTTTTTTCAATCATGCAATATTAAATTACTATTTATCATTTCGTAATATATATTATTATTTTTAGTTAAGTGTTTTAAATTTGTTGTGTCAAAAGAGGCGAAAGTATCTATAGCTATTATGTTTTGCCAAGCTATGCCTGTGCGTGCGATAGAACAATTTTAGGAGCGGCAAATTGTGTTTTTTTTTTTTAATTGCATATAATATTTTTTGCTTGTTTATTTTAGGCGTGATTGTTGAGCTGGGCAAAGACAAAAAAAAAATTATCTTTTTGATGACAGCCCGCAGCACTTACAAATTCCTTCGCAATTAGATATAGGTAGAGAAACCTATCAGATTAATTTGTGATCAGTTAAGAGGACGTGATATTCGTGTGTGCTATCTCCGTCTTGCAAACGGGTAACATAGCAAAATTACATTACCTATAATAAAAATTGTAACGTTCAGGTTGAAATTAGAGTTTAAATACAAATAACACAATTAATAACATTTAAAGAGAAAAATATTTCCGAGGGTTGTACGTATCTTTTTCTTTCTTTTTTTAAATTTACATACAAAAAAGTTACAGCGATGAAATTCGAATAAATAATACATACTTGTTCATCAGTTTCATAAATTAATTTTATTTGTTTTTCTACACCATATTATTTTGACAACTGAATAGCAAGTAGGTGTTTTGTTTTTATCGTTGTAGTGTTTTGCCATTTTTCTGATTCGATTAAAATTTGGAATGATTATTTATAAAATGTACATTGATCTTAATATGATATATACTATATAAATATTGTTATTAGTATTCAAATTTAAGTGTAATTTATTAATTACACATAAATGTGTAATTAACATTTTAAATGTGAATTTAAAAAATAGAAAACAATCAGTTATAAGAACTTTTAAAAATCATTCCAAAAATTACTCGTCAATTAATTTTGAAGGAAAAAACATCTAAAGCTATAGCCTTAGTTTATGAAAAATATTAATAATATATTTAATATTTATACATATTAACATTTTAAAATTGTTTCAATTATCTATAAATCAATGCCATAGATAATAAATTATATTATATTGATTTAAAAAAAGACAAGTAATAAATTCTACGTAACATCTAGAATCCTAAAATTGTAAAATTGTAAAAATGTAGAATTACAAATAGTTTCAGATAATATAATATAGTATTATTTTTGTATCGTTACATTCATACCATCACAGCTAACAAATGAAAATATATAACACACACTTTTATGTAGGTAATAGATTTTTATTACGTTTTTAAATCGATTCAATAGTGAGTTAGTTTTTTCATACTTACAAATACTACAATATACCTATGTTTTGTAATGCAATGCAGTGAAACATTATTGAGTTATTCTTCCTACTACTGAAATAAAAAATGCCTATATAAGTTAGTATTTGTATCGTATGCAATATATTTAATAACATTAAAATTTGTTATACAGTTTTAAAATGTGTTTCTTAATTATTTCGATCGTATATTGTGTTATTATATTTAGTATAAATAATATATAATATATGCCTATTATGCTTAGCTATAAAATTGCATACTGCATATTGGCTTATTTAAGTTTATTAAAATATACTATCATTGAAAACTCATTTAAAATAAATTAAATTATTATAGGTAATAACAATAAAATTATTATTTTTACGGGTTATCTGTACAACTAATTGTGTATATTTTCAAGTAGCTCTTTATTATAATAATTTATTTTTCCATTAGATTATGCGAAAAGAGTCATGTTTCATCAAGGTGATACGAATACCTACCTATAATATAGTGATATTGTTCGTAAACAGTATTTTTAACCTACTATTTCTATTTAGTTGAATGTTTACTTTATATATACATGGAGGGTCCCGTCAGTTCATAACTAGTCGCTATTGGATTCGGTAGTTCAGTGGTGATTTGGTTTACCGGGCAGGTGTTTTATATAGAATATTTTAATTTTGAATACTGTCATGTTTTCCGCAGAAGAAACTAGTTCGTCAATAAACGGAAATGGTATTATAGAATTGGTGAATTCTATTGATCTCAATGCAGTAAGAAATTTAATTCTTAAATTTTACTTAAAATAAATTATACAATTAAAAAAATAATGGCGATTTTTTTTTTAATATGATTTATATTTTCATTTATTCGATCGATTTTAATAAAATATTGAACTAAGTGCAATATATTTATTTGTTGAGTGTAAATTAAAAAGTGTGCCATAAAACGTTAAAATGTGAACGATTAAAACGATTCAAACTAATTTACACAATGCACCTACACATAAATACCGTATAAATTTAAAAAAAAATCATTTAATTCAATAACCTAACACATGTGGTTTTGCAGTGTGTACATCTTCAAATATACAGTACTGCGCCATGAAACAATAAACAGTTTAGAAAACGCTGAAATACAAAATACCATTTGGGTTGTAGCTGATATAATAGTATTAAGTTAAAATTAGTTTACATTAAGACAGTGTTTCCCAACTGGTGTTTCACGGAACCAAGGGTGCCGTGAGAAATTTGGGAAAAAAAAATCAGTAAACAACTTTTTCGATTTGATTATTTGTTATAATTAAAATTAAGGAGTTCTGTAGAATGCAATGAAAAATGATTAAAAGCATTTTACCAGAAGTCTCAAACTGGCTACTCATTTGAGTATCCTAAAAATATGTCTGCTTTATGTGGTCATGAAAAAAAAATGAAGGTTCCGCCAAATATTCAAGTTCCTGAAAAGGTAACGTAAGTAAAATAAGTTGGGAAACACTGCATTAGAATATAAAGTATTTTTCAATTCAAATTTCGTTTAAAATTGTGTATATTTTATATACTGTAGGTCTGTTGTATACTGTATATAATATGTATTGCATATTATATTATGATGAACGCTATGCAAAACTACATTTTCACAATTAAAAATGATTTTATCATATTGTATTTTAATATTTAACATACTTCTGTTGATATAATAAATACCTTTTTTTTCTTATAGACACTGTCGAAACTGGGGGAGGGGGGCGTTAGCATTGCTTCCTTCAGCTCGGCCTGCATCTACATTAAATATTATATTTTAATTGTCGTGTACATTGTACAATATCGCATCAATTATTATTATTATTATATAACACGTTTTGTTTTAGATTTTTTTAATTCCTCCTGTGATTAATCTAAAATTTCATTCATTTTTTCTCATAATTTGCATTTAGAATTTAATCTTGAAATTACAATGTAGATTAAGTAATATATGATTAGATAGTCATATAAATAGTATGAAAGTTGATATTTATAAATTAGGCTTATTAATTAGGCATTGACCTATCGTATAAATTATTTTATCAAATACAATAAGACGTTATACCTACACGTGCTGTCTTTATTTTACAATTTTTTTTTTTGTTATTTTAATTTTAAGGCACGATATGAGTGTGTGAAATATTATGATTTAAATACTTATAATATCTTGCTTAAAAAATTTAATTTTGAACAAATAATGATAACACGACATAGATAATGTTTTTATCTTTAAGTTTGATGATTAAGTCAATTCACTCTAAACTTTAACTTTAACTTCAACTTTAAAATTAACAGTTATCCCTGTTGAACGAAAATTTGCTATGGCGTGAGATTGTAAGACGAAGGCCGCACATGAGGGTATACGTAATGTATACGGAAGTATTTCCCTTTTCATATATATATACATCAAAATATATTTTGGCAAAATTATATAGTATTATAATTATATTACTATCATAAAACTATATTCAAGATATTTAATGGAAATACAAAACAAGTGAATTCAAAATTAATGTACTTAATTTTTTTGCTTCTCTATTTATAGTTGTTACACTATTTTAAATTATGAATAAAAGTGATGTATGTTTCATTATAATATGATGTGTGTGTGTATGTCATTATTTCGACCGAAATATTACTCCAATTAACAAGATTCGGAATGATTTCTGATAGTACTTAGGATCTATTATTGGTGTTTAATGGAAGCTATTTTTATAAATTCCTAGTACTTTTATTAATAATTGGAAAAAGCTAGTAAAATTAAGAATGATTGGGGATAAAAACAGGTGTTGATAAAAATCAATTTTTATATTTGTTTTTAGATTTGATCTTAGAAACCTGTATTTTCAAAATATTTTGGCTCATCGTCTCTTTTTGAGTTGATACAATATTTTTACCCCGGTTAAAAGGTTCCAACATTTAATATATTTCATTCGTCTATAAGATAGGCATTGTTTGCCGTTCTTTTAAAATCAATTTTTGACCCAAATAGTTAAAAAAAAAATTATTATTTTAATTAAATGATATAATATTATAGAAACGTAAATAACGATTTTTCATCTAAAAATTGTAGTTATTTTTTCGTATAATTGAACCAGTATATTATTGGGGTTATAAATGTTATACTAATATAAATATTATGTTTAAATAAACTTTATTCTGTTTGCTTTTATTATTATAACTAAATTACCACGATACATCAATATTCATAGCTCTTTTTTTTATCATTGAATTATTTTTGCTTATTTTTCTGGATGTCAGATGAGAATACAAGATATAAATTTATCTTATGGTACATTATTTGAAAAATGGCTATTAAGACATACACAAACAACTATTTAAACAATGGCTATTGTTATTCATTAATAGGTAATAGGTATAATAGTGTATACTATATACATATATAAACACTCGAGAAACATACCTTTTTCTATCGTCGACCACTATCGCTTATATTATAATAACACTTGATTGAGCAAATTTATAAATAATATATTATACCAGAGACATTTCAAATTTTATGTTAGATACTCGTATTATTATGTTATATATATGTTATACTATTTTAATTGTATTAACGAAAAATATATTACGTTTTTCTAATGTACAACATAGTGATTTATTTATTATGAACCAGCGATTTTCTCGTTGGATTTTAAATTAATTTGATTTTTTTTCAATTATTATGAAATCGTTTGAACTTTATTTTATCATTCAGACTACTCCTTATACCCCGTTTAGACACAGATTTGAATAGAGAATATTTTTTTACAAACTTTGATATTCATAACACTAATTTTAAACTGTTATAACTTAAACGATAAATTCATATGTTATACATATCGAAATGTTTAGACAAATTTTCTTTTTTTGAATCTGTTTTTAAAGAAGGGAGGGGTTGCTATTTTAAAATTGAACTATAAAATAAAACTTAAATGATTTCACAACTATTCAAAAAACAGAAATCAAATAACCTTAAAAATATACGAAAAATTACTGGTTTATAATAAATGGATCACTCTGTATATAAATTTATACTTATATATAATATTATATAACAGTTGATTTATGGTGCCCATGAATTTATGTCTGGATTTTTCATTTGATCGATAAATCAATGTATATCAAACAGGGTCATCAAAAAACATCTTTACACTCTTTATACAATTATGAATTAATAATAAAAATTTCGAAATGATGTTATATAAAACAAACTAGTTTTTTTTTATTGTAACCTACAATGTCTGATTTTTTTAAAAACTAAATTATATTCAATATTCATTGTATAACACTTTTTGCTAGACTTTTACTATGCAATCTTAAAACAAAGCTGTCACATAATGATACTGCTGCTTATTTCAAGACCAACATTCTATTAATGTATTGAGTTTAGTTTTGTTTCGGTAAATTTAATCTTTTGAGAATAAAAAGTTGGAAATTTAAAAAAAAAAATTGGAAATAAAATTGAAATAAAAAGCAGGGAAATTTAGAAGCCAAGATAAGAGACAAGAGTAATTACTCTTGACATTTTGAAGGATGTATATCATTAATTAATTTTGAGCAAAGAAAAATAATAGCTCTAAAATCTTTTACCACGCCGATAAAAAGCTCATAAAAATATTCTATGAACATTTCGGGTATCTATGATTATTTTTTACCAAATCACAAAATAAAAATGAAATTAATAATTTTAAAACTATTGTTTTACGACTTTTTTCCAGTATTTCCAATTATTACAGCTTAAAAAATAAAAATAAAGGAATAACTATTCGTCATCCAAAATATAACATGAAAGTTAGCTTGTCGCTTTTTGATTGGAATCAATAACGTTGCGATGCACCACTATATTGGTCTGTTGTGTTTTAACCACCCTGGTCAATACAATAGTAATGAAAGGTTGTGTAAGATGCAGATCCAAGGAGAAATTAGCTCCTATCTTATAAAATATTGAACTTCACAAATTTTCTAAACCTAAGAGACTTTCTAATTTCTTTTATATGTTCTCTAAACATCTATTTTAGATGCAGAGTGGAACGAATATATTGGTTTCACAATAATGATTTTTTTTTTCTGTGGACAACTTTTTTAATAGCAATTTTGCTCCGATTTACAATTATAGTACTTTTTCTGGAAGTAAATTTGACTTGAATTGTACTCTAAGATGGTTATTTTTTTGATTTTCCCAGGATTTTTCCCAATAAATAGGAAAAAACGTAGGAAAAACTGGAAAATAGATACAATATTAAAGAAATATTATTCAAAAAATTATATAATGCATATGTAATATCATAATATGACATATATATTGTTGAAAAAGTAACACCATCAACTGAATTCCGTTCAAAATTGTCTTTTCGTTAGCAATGGTTAATTGTTGCGTACAAATATACATTAAATTTCCTCTCTACTATCTCAACTTTTTACCTACAACAGTGGCCTGCTTACGTGCAAAGTATGTCCGTCTTTTTTAATTTGAGAATTCCTCAAATAGGGTTTTTGTTTTTATAAATAATTGTGTTTTGTCCTATTTTAGCTACACAGTTGATAATAAAATAGAGAATGATTAAAATATAGTAAGTAATAGGTAATAGGTAATTAATTAATAATTTTTCTTGTCTGTAATATAAAATAGTAAAAATGTTAATCTTTACACAAATATTGTAGGTACCTACACATATTAGTTTCTTGTTAGGTTAGTTTGGGCATAAAAATGGTGTACCCTATTTTAACTTACTAATGTACCTTAACTAAAATTAAAAAGTAACATAAAATATGTTTTTTAAGAACATTGATAAAACTCTTTTACGTGGAGTTTGTTTAAAAATGAGGGTGATTAAATATTAAATCCAAAATAATAAAAACTCGTTTTTAATAAACAAAAGTAGTGACTAGAAAACATGAATCCGTGAACAATACATATTTTTTATACAAAGGAGGTACTTGATAAAAACAATAAATGTGATTTTTGATAAGACACCTTGATAATGTCAAAATATTTAAATATCCCATGTTTAATTAATTCATTTATTGATAATTTTTGATTTAATTGTTACCAATTAATTTCAGCTTGACCAGACATCACACAAACCCGTTTTACCAGACTAATTATCCTATTATACCCAACCTTCCTCTATACCTACCTATATGATAATATATATGGCATTTAGATATTTTAACATAAAATATCTCCTTATTCTTCTTATTTATATATAAAAAAAAAAAAACGAAGTCTTATATGAAATAATTTCTTGGCTGGTTTGAGATATTTACAAAAATTATAAATTTTAAAAACAATTAAATATTTATAAATTATAGAAACATTTATAAAATACATACAATTTTGTTCATTTTCTTTTACGAATGTACTACGAACAGCAAAAAAATGGGGAATACCGAATATGAACCAAGATTTTTTAATCTGTAAAAATTTCGCCAACTTAAAGTTGTGCTAAAATAATTTAAATAAAGTACAAAAAATTCGGAGAGTACTCCAATAATAATGTCTCTACATAATAGGGAGATAGTTTTCCCAAAAATTATTTTTCCCAATGTCATTTTCCATAAGCTCTGGATTTCAAAAAAAAAAAATGTCTAATTTAAAATCAGATTAAATTTAATCAGATTATATCTTATTATACCTTATTATTAATTTATTAAGATTAATATTGAAAAATTATGCCTAATAGCCTAATAGTTAGGTTGAAAACGAAGAAAAGTGATGTGTAGACATAAGTATCATTAATTGAACATTAATTACTTAGTTTAAAAAGTGCATGATTTTATCTGAATAAACCATAATTAATTAACTTACCCCCCCCCATTGATTAATAAACTGATTAATTAATTTCATGGCTGATGAAATAAAGTATTTATTTTTATTTTCAGACTAATCATTACGAGAAAAACGGAAAATCGTCCGAACGACCCAAATTATATCACCCAACAGACGACGAGACTTTGTCACTTCTAATGATTGAGAACGGTAATATGGCTAAAGACAAATGGAAGTCAGACGGCCAATCCAACGGACAGACTAAAGTACGAAATTCTACCGAACACAGACTAAGTGTTTTATCTTTAGGCTACGTTCCTACTGCTCATCCAACTTCGTAAGATAATTTGATAATATTATGCTAATATGATATCAATGACGATAAATTAATAATGACATCGAATACAGATATTTCTAATTATTTTAGGTATTTAGAAACACTAATAAACATGTTGAAAGGAAATGTTGGATGTGGAATTTTAGCTATGGGAGACGCATTCAAAAATGGAGGACTAATTTTGTCACCGGTGTTAACCTTCTTCATTGGCATAATCTGTGTTTACAACCAACATTTACTAGTAAGAAACAAACAATATTATATAATAATTAAACCTTGCCAACGCAATTTAACAGTGTATTACAGCGAGAGGAAAATGATAGGCATAAGATTAAAGGTCACGGAAAAAACAATTTGCATAGTTTTTATGGGAAAAACTTCAAAACTATTCATAATATAAACTATTTAGGAATCCCCATCATTATAGAAACACTATCTATACATAGTTAAAAATGAAAATTAAATTTAAACTTATAATAAATCTCGTATTAAATTTCCCAGTATTACTTTGGCCAAACAATTTCATCAATTTATAAAACCAAATAAAAACTCAAAAAAGGAAAATGTCAAAAATTGTCAGAATGATTTGAAAAGAATAAGTACCTACTACGTTTACGAAATTCAATTTAAGCATTCTGTGAAAATTTCAGGTCTCTACAATTGAACTTTGAAGAATTATGGAGAAAAACAATAATAGTAAAGAAAAATAATAATAAAAATATTATCATTTTGTCATTTGTTTCTGACCGAATTTATATGCGAATTGAGTTGGGGCATAAAGATCATAATCAGTGATATAACAAAGGTTTAAATATACAGTTTAATAAGGTTTTAATATAGTTCTGAAACTTTAAAACTACAATACTGAACATTTTAGGAATATAGACTATTATCTTTCTTCCCCGTAGCAGTTCAATTATTTTTAATCAAATTACAGCAAATAAAAAAAATCGAATATAATGAATCCGTTACCTATTTCTGTAAACTTTCCAGTTTTTTCTAAGTATAAAAAAACAGAAATAAAATTAAAAAAAACGACATCCTTACACACTATAACTAGATAAATTTTTATTTCAGACAAAATGCTTCTCTTGAAACTCTGATTAAAATTTTTGATGTAAAACAAAAATAAAAAACAATTAAATTGTTAACGTTGTAAATATTTATCCGTGTTTTCTAAAAGTTTTAGTTTTTAGTTTTTAAATTAATATGAAAACTTCACAGAATATCAGAAAATAACTTCATCAAAGCACCAACTAGATTCAAATTGCAATAAAAAATATTTCTTGGCATTTTTTGATTGACGCAAAATTTCTGTTATAAAAGTTTTTTTTATAGACAGAAAAAAAACACACACGACAATAAACCAAAACATTCCTCATTTCGTTAAAGAACTAAAAAATATTTTCTTCTTAAATATATTTTAATTTAGTGAATTTTAATGTATAATTATAATTTAATATGTATTTTCTTGTGTTATAAGTAATATCAACATATGTATAATATTTATAAATAAAGGGACTTTGTACTAATTGTGTACCTACGTCATGTTTGCAAATCACTGTGCTGTTGAGTAATTAACATACACAAAATGATAATAAACTCTTAAAAATCTAGAATTATTTATTTCGACCTCTACTGCTTACCCATGTATATAATGTATACATTATACATGTACTTTTCGAGTTTTACAAATACAGTGTAGTTTAAGTAGAATAATTAAAGAGTTCCCTTGATATAGGTTAATATATTTAGTTTCTTATATAGTTCATGAAAATAGTATACGTCATAATCATACAACCGGTTTTCATTGATAGCTTCAATATTATATAACAGGCATAATATATTTAAAATACATACTTATACACATACATATTAAAAATATTATTATGTGTACTTACCTATTATTATTATTAGGTAGGTATTTATTTATTTTATTAATGTAACACATTTTATTTGTTTATTTTACTATTTTAAAAAAATGAATACATGAATTTTATTAAAAATGTTAGGTATAATATTTGAAATTTTTAATATGTATTGTAAACCAGTATAATTTATAATATCAGTTAACGGGCTATCAATTTGATTAAATAAAGTACCTATTATTTACAAAATCTGAATTTTATTACTTCCTACTGTTGTTTTTATTTTTATATTTTAAAAAGTAGACACCTAAAACCTATATGCAAATAAAAAATTTAAAAAATATTTCTAAATTTTGTTAGGTAGGTACTGATTTAATGTTTCGCTTCCATATTAGGATAAATGCAAAACAACTGTGAAATATTAATAAGTATTATAATACAATATAGTTTCATAAATTTACCTAAACCCTTAAGAAAATATTTAACATGTGTATATAAATAATATTAATTTTAGGTCAAATGTTCAAAAAGTGTCAAAGAAAAACTTAAATTAAAACATAATCCAGAATTTGCAGAGACAGTAGAATTATCTTTTCAATCGGGACCACAGCGATTTCAAAGTTATTCTGTATTTTTTCGGTAAGCAATTATTATTAGATCGATATAAATTTTATCCATGTTTGTAAATATTACAAAAGGTAACTGGTGAATCGATCGCGATTAATTGTTAGATATTGATTTATATAAACTACTCTGGTATATACTACACAATTATTAAATAAAATAATAATAATAAATTTAATACAATTAAATAATTTATTGATTTTTAGCTTATTTATACATTCAATTATTAAAAAAAAAAAAAGTCCAAGGATAATGGATGCAGCCATTGTTATAGGTAATTTAATGTATATTTGTTAGCCACGATTAATCATTGCTAACGAAAATATGATTCTGAGCGGAGTTCATTTGATAGTGATACTTTGTCAGCAATATATAGGTCATTTTATATTAAAATAATTAAATAGGCTTTATTAATTTTCTCAGATAATTTTTGATAATGTTGTACCGATTTTCCCAATTTTTCTACGTTTTTCCCAGTTTTTCACATTTGCTGAGAAAATCGAAAAATGACCGATTTCGTTTCAGAAAAGGTGCTACACGTAGAAATCCGTGCATAATAAAAATAAAATAAATATCTTTGTAAAATCATAAGCTTTTTCGTCCCACTTAAAATCTAAAAACTTGATTAACTATTTGACTTTTATAAAAGTCATATTAATAAAACACATTTAATAAAGTATTAGAAAATCAATAAATGTATAACAACAAATTATTTGATTTTATTAGTAATAATAAATTATTATTGTATTCGTATAGTATTAGTTTATTAGTATAAACAGAAGAAAAGTCTATACAAAGCATTAATTTTTTTGGGCAACCCATTTGCAGCTGTGATTAATTGTTCGTGACTAATTCACCAGGACCATTATAAAACTTCTAATTCTTTTTTTTAAGTAAAGACACTAAACAATTAGAATAAAATAAAATACATAACAATAAAAATTAATAATCTTATTGTAAGTTATAAATCAATATTTAACAATAAATAGTATTCAATAGTATTTATATATCTGGTACCTACATAGATAACAATAATTATAGCTTGAAAAATATCAAAAGATTTCTTATAAAATAAATTAAAAATTTTAAGTACTTGTATTTTGTAATTTAAAAAAAAAATAAGATACATGACCTTTTAAATTTAAAATTAATCATTTCTTTGTTTGATAAATATAGGTATCCACATTTATTTATGTATAAAAACAAAAAAAGCCGAATAGCCCAAAGATAATATAATACAATACCTATATTAGATTATTTGTATTTTCTTCGTCATCTAACATTATTTTTTTGGTTAGGTAGGCATTAGGTTTAACAATATCTTTCATTATGTTTATTAAAATTTTTTATTTAATGAAAGTATTCCTTTAGGTGTTCTTTAGCCATATTTATCCATAAGTTTATGATTTTAGAATATGGTTAACACTTTAAAACATTCTATCTCTATGACATAATATTATCTACCCAATAACAATTGATTTTATTTCAATTCATTATCTTTCCATCGGTAACTATTATAGCTATAGCAATAACACATTTCTTGCCACGAAACCATTAATTTTGTTTTATTATAAAGTATAAAATATAATTTATTTAAATATATTATTTAGTTAATTTAAAATAAACATTCAGCAACATTTTTTTAATCAATAAAAACCTTCTTTTCAATAATCAACATATTATGTGCCATACATGTTTGATAGTGATATTAAGTTTTTTTTCAAAATAACCGTAAAAAACAGAAAATATTAAGATTTGAAGGAAAAAATTGACAATTTTTGGTAGACCAACTGAAAGGAGCCTATTTTTTTTTTTTTTACAAAAATTAATATTTATTAATATTAAATGTTTTTATTTGGTTTACAGGAATAGTGTAAATACTTTTATAGTTATCACTCAATTGGGATTTTGTTGTGTTTATATTCTTTTTGTATCTAAATCTATTCAGCAGGTAAATTATTATAAATATGTTTAATTATAATATTATATGTTCAATTATAATATTATATGTTCAATTATAATATCATACAAATCATGTATTAATTAAATTAATATTTAATTGATATTTTATAGTAGATACAAGGTGATCCATTTCAATGGGTACACTCATTATATCGGAAAGTATTTTTTGGAATTTGTTTTATAGAAAAAAGGTAAAGAACATTTAAGAAATAAGCAGCTCTACAATTTTACATTTATGTTATTTTTTCTCACTCTTATTTTTGGGTCTAAATCCTCTACTAATTTTGATTTTTAAATGGCAATTTACATCGAAAAATTCATTAAAATGGTCTAATAGTTAAAATTAATTTTGGTGTTGAAATTTCTGATTTCCGTCAACCTATTGATAAAATATTCTACGTTAAAGGTTTGAGTAGAGGGATAATAGTGGTGCATTATTAATAAACTCCACAAGCAGTGTCGCCACACAAATGGTGCTTCACTACTCTCCTTCAACTAAAACTTAAAGCGGAATATCTCGTCAACGAGTTGACAGAAATCAAAAATTTTACTACCAAAATTTATTTTAAATAATACGCCATATATGTATGCCGTTTTTAATATTTCTAGGTTTTCATTTGAAAATCAAAATTATGTAGTAGTTTTAACCTCAAAACATAAATAAAAGAAGGGTGAAAAAATAACATAAATATAAAATTGTAAGTTGTTTCTTAAATGTTTTATACAACATATTTCAAAAAATGCTAATATCTTTTGTGTTACTGAGTGTACATACTTAAATAGATCACTTTGAATGCACATATAGGTATAATGGTTGCTCATCTACAAATAATTATTAGTTACCTATAGGTACTATTCTTTTGTATTGGTTATTGTTTTAGTGATAAATGATTCACTTATGAAGCCATTAAATAAAGTTAAATGTGACCTTTTACTATGTAGTAAAGAACCAATATACCTATTACCAATGACAGAGTTTATAATTTTATTAGATTTAAATAATAAATAATGTAAGGTGTCGCATATTATATTAATGTATTTTAATATTATTATAATAAGTTCTGCCAACATTATTATGAATTAGTTTAAATTTGAAAAACAAAATATTTTTGTAAATACGAAAAAGAGAATAATACATAAAATATACCTAACGTAATGTTAAATGATGATTAGATGATGATGGAATAATATGATTTATTATGGTTTTAAATATATTTTGTTTCGTTAGGTAATGAGCTGGTATAAAATACCGTTGGATGTACATGTGAGTATATTAATAACAATGGTACCCATAATGATTTCGTCACTCATAAGAAATTTAAAGTTTATTGCTCGGTTGTCAGCAATAGCAAATATGTGCATGCTAGTGGGTCTGTTTGTAATTCTTTACTATTGTGCCAATGGTTTGCCACCCTTATCCACAAGAGCAGCTGTTGCTCATTGGACAAGTATACCTTTATACTTTGGCACCAGTATATTTGCATTTGAAGGAATTAGTTTGGTGAGTTGTTTGCATGCAATTTTATTACAATAATATTTGTTTTATCTAACACTGTTTACATAGGTTTTACCATTAGAGCAAGAAATGAAAAATCCTAAACAATTTTCCACAGTGTTCGGAGTACTGAATGTGGGTATGGTGATTGTTACAAGTCTTATAATGCTAACAGGTTTTATGGGTTATTTAAGATTTGGAGATGCAGTCCGAGGTAGTCTTACTTTAAACTTGCCAGAGGAATTTTTGTAAGAACTTATTATTTATTATTTATTTTTAATTTACAACGAAAAATTTAAAACATTACATTTTCAGATTGTCTAAAATTGTTATTTTGAGTATGATGTTTGGTATTATATGCACATATACATTGCAGTTTTATGTACCAATCGAAATCCTATGGCCGAAGGTTGAGAAAAAATTTGGACCTTTCAAATCACCTGTACTTTGGGACACAGGACTTCGTGTGATTCTTGTACTCATTACATGTGAGTCAACATTGATTCTAAGCGTAGAGAGATGTAATTGATTTTAATTCACGATTTTTCCTTGTATACAATTTCCTGAACTGCTTTTTTCCCGAAGCTAACCTAATCTAGCCTTTCCTGAAATCTTTTACCCAAATTTTATTTTTCCCGAATACTATTCAACCAAAAACAAAGTTAAATTTGTTGGATTTTTAATGGTGCATCGTCGGGAAAATTTATTACACTAACAATTTTATTTATTTTTTTTTTGGTTAAAAATTATTGCAACATTATGAATGAATACTTGAATATTAGAACCCTCTAGATGTGGTACAGTTAACAAAATATTTTTGTGATTTTTAAGTCATTTATAATTTATAATTTTTTAGGTTTTTGATTTAATTTTAGTTGAATAAAATTGTTTTTAACCCAGAAAAATTTTAACACAAAATTCACCATAAATTTGATACCAAAGAAAAAAAGTTAAGTGTAAATATAGATGATATGATTGAAATATTAAATTTAAAAGAAACACGTTTATATGACGGTACTTAGTGACTTTTTGCGATAAACGAATATTTGAAGACCCTAGAAAAAAGGCAAGGGAACTAATTTTCAATGGGTTTTCTGCTATAAACTGCGCCCTTACATCGGAACTCAAATTTAAACGCGAAATAACTGAATTACATTTTTTGACGTTTAGTGTTCCAGAAAGAAAAACAATCTTATTGTAAAAAAAAAAAAAACAGTGTTGAATCTTATTTAGTACCAGGAAAAATGTGTCGTTCACGTTTTCTTAAAATATTTTAGATTCATAGATGATGTTTATTTATTTGTTTTCTTTTCTGTAAATAACTTTTCTACCAGAAATTTTGCTCCGATTTTCAAGTGTAGTAATTTTTCTGATAGGAAATCTGACGGGAGTGATACTTTAGGAGAATTTATTTTTATTTTTCCAGGTAATTTCATAATAAAAGAAAAAAAAACGGCAAAAACGTACGGAAAACGGGAAAATTTACGAAATTTATTATTTTCAAATCGTAAATATTTCGGCTTTTCAAACCATGTATAACCAAACTTTACTCAGGATCGTTTTTTGTTAACAATGGTTAATATTTGTGTACAGATAAATACAATAAATTTCCCCTCTACCTTGACAATTTCTCACCTACAATGATGGCTCATCCATCGTGCGAATTATGTCCATTTATTTTTAAAATTTGTTTTAAAATGTTTTATGTTTATACTAGAACCACGGTTAGATAACTGTATTAACTTTAACTTAATAGCGCCTACCTCGAATCAAAAATAAAAAACAATTAGGTATTTAGATAAATCGACTGAGTTCTAAACATTGTATTTAAATTTGAGAAATCTTCTCAAATTCGTACGGTTTTTGTGTTTTATGTCTTTCAATCCATCCGTCCATTCCCTGTGTATTACACCTACTTGTATGATATGAAAAATAATTAAAATTATAATTTCATTAATAATCGTTTGTATTGCAGTCTTGGCGGCCGATGTGATACCACATCTAAGCCTGTTCATATCGATGATGGGCGCTGTGGCCAGCACGTTTCTGGCTTTGATATTCCCACCACTGTGTCATATGGCCGTTACCGGTTCCAACGAGAAAGAGTACGGCCGGTTTAGGTGGCGGCTGATGATGAACGCCGTCACGCTGGCGCTTGGCGCGCTCGGCTTCGTTACCGGCACATACGCCAGTGTTTACGAGATATGCGAAGCGTTTCAGAACCCAAATGCCGAAGCCGTGGCCATCGCCAATCTCACCATGCAGAAGGCGCACTGAACGTATAACTCAATAATTATAATAATATAATTATAAATATGTAACTATACCTACCTATTATGTACATTATTATGGTCGTCATATCGTCACATCACCACATCGCCCACCGGTATCCGACGTGCCACAAACTAGATTCGTCCGAGAATGAAGGGTTCCGTCCACGAACACCAAACATACGACTTTCATCGCACATTATTAACATTTTATTCTCCTCCTCCTTCTCCTTGGCCTTATACGAACCTTTTTTATATTCTGGACGGTTTCCTTTCTCAGACGCCCACATCATCAGCCATTATTCTCAAATTTGAATTTATCCACTTTGATTAGATCGTTCCTACGGTCTTCCCCTCATAGTTATCACCCAGAGTCCCAGAGGAAATTTATAATACAATTTCGAATTGAATATGTGTAGGTATAAGTTACAATGGACATAGATTTACCTATAATGAAATATTCGCAACTGCCGCTGTGGAAAACCTTATATAGGTAGCCGTTCAAAGTTGTTATTGTTAAAATATTATACATAATATACCGAATCAAAATAAAAATTTCTTGTAAATCGCGTTTTTAGTTTCGATGTACGAATCATCATTATTTTTCAAATAATTAAATATTTTACAGATGGGAGGAGAAAGGGGGTCCGAACTTGAAGGCTATGCTCTTGGTTGCACTACTGATTCACATTGGGTTCGTTTCTAAGTAAATACAAAATCAATTAAGTATGCGGTAGATAACTCAATGCTTATGTGCTCAATCAGAATACATGAAGATTTTATTGTTTTTTTTTTTACCGTGCACCAACGATTATTGTCCCCACGAAGTTTCCATCCCTTCCTGACCACAATCTCTGAACGTATTGTGGTATCTAATTTATGGTTTACGTTGTTTACTCATCAAATAAATTATATAATAATTGATCTCCATGTAAAAACCTATGGGTATTTTTTTAATTTCAAAGTTAAGACTAGGTATTATTATAGTAGTAGATATATGTACGTTAAACTAATTATGACTGACAAATTTATAATTATTTCCTATTTAGAACTAGAGAAGGGAAAATTGATAAGAATTCAATTATCATCCCTATATATCGCCAGTCCAAATTTTAATTAATTATTGTTCTTATATATATATATATATATATATATAGGTCTTTGATTAACGTCTAGTAAAATATTTAAACTCATTAAAATCTGAAGAAAAAATACTTTAGATTACTATACATTTATATTTGGATAAATTATTGTGTTGGTCACTCGAAATAAGATTATTTTACTTTTTTTTTTACACAAATTTAAATCAAACATCCAATAATATTTTTCTATTGTGTCATGTTTATGAAACTGTTTTATGTAAATAAATAAGGTATTTGATGGTTTCAAAAAACAAAACATTGTTTTTATTTTTAGTTAAAATTGTTTGAATGTAAAATCCATAAATTAGTTAAATTTAAATAAATAGACAATTATTAAAGTAAACAGTAGAATATTTTAGTAAGTTCCAAGATTCTTGGGTGACATTGTACTAAACTTTGGTCTAATAAGGCTTTTAAATTTCTGAAATTGATTACTTATATTATTATACAAATTAATATTTATACCTAAAATATAATTGTTTATGATTTCCTAGGTAGGCACCTGAAATTAAGTATAATCATACATTATTTAATGGTTTTTCGTTATTTTTTTAAATAACATTTTCCAGTATCAATTTTTTTAAATTTATTTGTAGTGATCATTATTTTATATTTTAATTTTTTAGCAAAAATAATAAGGCCCTCCGCACACGAGGCGATTGTAACGCGACACGATTCTTGCGCGATTTATGCGATTTATGCGATACGTGCGATCTGTGCGATTACGGAGGCGCACACGATGCGATTGTCGTGCGATTATTATTATCGTTGTTTATGTATTATTCGGTTATTATCAGTCATTTACTGACGTTTGCGCAGTTCTTTGGTTACCTTTTTTTAAAATGTCAAGTTCGTCTAGTGACGAAGAAGCGATTGATACGTACTATTTGTACAAAACATTGGTTTGTGGAAAAAAGCAAGAAAAGAATCTTCGAAGGAAATTTTGGAAAAATTATAGAGTTCAGGATGTTTTTCAATTTCACCAACAAATTTAATATTGAGTGCCTCCATAGTTAAAATTATGTATAAATAATTAATATAATTAACGAAAATAAAAATGTAATTACGCGTGATCCGTGCGACGCGACTGCCAAGCGATCAGCACGGACGTGTCCGTCGCTCGCATCACAGTCGCGTCGTAATCGCGTCGTTATCAAATTGCGTCGTTAGTGAATCCCCGTTCACTTTGCTAAGATATCGCACGTGGCAAAAATCGCATCGTGTGTGAATCGCCTCGTGTGCGGAGGGCCTAAGAGCTATATGGTAAAAAAAATAAAGTATAGAAATAATATTATTTACTTTTTAGCTTTGGCTATAAAATTTGGTTTTAAAATAATTAAGTTATCTTATTTTGTGAATTTTTGATAAATAAATAAATATTATTCACAATATAACCGAATAGGTTTAAAACATTTAAATTATTTTATTGATCTGTTTGTATTTGTATTGTTTACAAGTAGGTATATATATATATGTGCAGTGTACACAATGTACTTATACATTATAATGTACAGCAGTATTTCCCAACTTATGGATCGCTATAAAAAAAAAATATTTTGGTTATAATATAATAAAATAGAACATTGTGAATAGAAATATTAAGAAAAAAAGCAGCATACTAAAAATAATACCAGCTTCAAATAATAATGTTCAAAGACGCTTTGTCTGTTGTCGAGATTAACGAAAACATAAAACAACAACTATTATTAAACAGATTAAACTCAAAACCCATCATTATTTTTTTATTCGGTTGTACTAAAGTATAGAATTCAAAATAAAGTTATATTGTCTACAAATATAAGATATTATTTTGACAGAAGTATTCATGAAGATTTCTTGTACTATAATAGTTCGAACACAACATCTGATGTAAATATTATTATAACACATAAGAATATTTTTTTTTGAAAACAATATTCAGTATATTCAATGACCAAACTGTGTAAGTGTAACTACTGATGGTGCAGGATCGATGACGGGTAAACATGTTAGTGTGGTACGACGTATTAAACAAGTTACTCCAGATGATAAATGGACGCATTTTATGCCTCACGGAAGCACCACTTGTGTTAAAAAAAATGTTTACTGAATTAAATGATGTTCTTAATGTAGCGACTTTTATTATTGACATTATTACTTATTATATATTGAGCCATTATGGTATACTTGATTTTAATTTTTTGTTTAATGAGGGGTCGCATACCCAAAAAAGAGTTAGTGTGTGGGTCACTATAACAAAAAGGTTGAGAGCCACTGGTACAGTACATTACAATATATGGACAGATTTACAGCAACAGTTTTTATTTTTATTTAAAGGCGGGTTAATATAAATTGCGTTGCTCCTTTTTAGTTAATTAAATTATGTAGGTATATATAATACCATTATATTATACATAAATTATATTCAAATCACAAAAATTTCATTCAATATAATGCATTATTTGATGTTGGCAATTATTGTACACTACAGTTGTTTCTGAGAGATTTGCAATATCTGAGGCCCAATTAAGATAACTATGTGTTCAAATTACAAATGATAACATATTATATCTACGAAGAGATAATAACGATGTTCAAATTTAAAAAAAAAATGAACATGAGGAACGTGGGATTGTATAACGCAAGTATTATTCAAAGGTTAATAAAATGTCTGTCTTTCGTCAATCACGTGTATATTAAGCAAATTTTTACGAGCACGTGTTTAAAATGTGCCGATTAAAGGTATTTTATCGTATAAAAAGTAAATTAGAAAAACTATTAAAATTGGTTTTTAGTGCCAAATTACTTGGTAAATAATAAATATTCACGTACGTGAATATACGTTATACGTTTATTGTATTATAAATTAACTTATGTTTTTTATATTATTTTATTTTCGTCATTAAATTATCTTATCATTGTTAGATCAGATTGCTAAATGTAAATTTATGGCTATTACCATTATTTTATCTAATGGCTTGGTAAGTATCTACTAGCTACCTATATAGGAAACTTTAATACCTACTTAATCGTATAAGGTAATGAAATATACTCGAATAGAACAACTGTCACAAGTAATAAATATAGATATATCTTATATTATAAAATGATATTAAAAATAAAATATATATATATATATAATTTAATAATTTGATCCATTAAATAAAAACATTATAATTTTACAGGTAGTTTTTCCGCACTACAAAACGTAGATAAATAAATATTGTATAATATTATACAATATTTTGTACTGGGTATAATTATGATTAAATTAAAAAAGGCTATGGACCAATAATTATTTTTTCTATAGCCATTTTTTGTTCCGATTATTTTTGTATTTGATTATATGGTTCCCCTCCGATATTGTACAGAATGGACATACTTACTTGAATATTTTTTATCGTAGCCATTTTTATACCTAGACTAAATAGACCCATAATATACACAATTCTCCGATTTTCCATAACCAAAAATCAATGTCTTTAGAAATGAGTAAAATTTTGTCTGTCAATGTACATTTTTACAAATACAGATTTACCAACTATTGCTTACAGTAGACTCGGAAGGATATTACGTTTTTGGGACTGATACGACAGAATGGTTGTTGTATAATGTACACACGCAAAGTGCTCGTATTATGTTTAGACTTTTTATGTTTTATTTGCTGACCCGTTAAATAGTTCTAAACTTGTTTGAATTATTTGCATATTTATTTAGGCAATAGTTTAATACTATTTCCTAATAAATAATTTTTTTTAGATTAAATTAAATTATTAATTAATTATAAACATTAAGAATTTAGGTATAAAACTATTATACAAACTGCGTGTTTATATATTGTTAAAAGCGATCACGAGTGTTTCTGGTATAAATTACTGATACAAATTAAGTCTAGAAGTTTGTTATGTCAATTCAATTTGTAAATAATACCCTATCACTTGAAATGTATAAACTTTAATATAGTGTTGTATTTCTCAGTAAACACTTTAAGCTAGTGCTACAGTGACAATTTTTTAGGGGTAAAAAATTTCTAACAATTAAGCAAATAATATTTAGCCATAATATGGTTGTATTTTAGAAAAATACATAAATGATAGGTATTTTCACATGTAAAAATAATAAAACTTTATCAGTGAATTTTATTTCTAACCAAAAGAATAACAAGAAATGGTTTTTTAAATACCATGTACTGCTAATTCGTTAAATTTGATCAGAATTAATGTAATCGAATATGTTAAAGAAAGCGCCTAATTTTTAACACTATTCAAAATCTATATTCATTCATTATTGTTATTACTACCTGAAATGCTTTAAAATTATACTTAATGCTCCGTATGGAGCATGCAATATCTTAGACAAAAAATGAGACGGTGTTATGAAAAGTTTAAAAACATTTGGAAAATGAATGAATTGAACCTAACCTTACTACTTTATCATCTATATCAATGTGTAGGTATAATACTCGTATAATATCTAATATATTACTATAATCACAGAAAACCATCATCAGCAAAAAATCGAATTTTTATTTAAAATTGTATTAGATACTTACAAATAATGTAAAAAAAAAAATATGGTAAATATTAATATAAAAATATATTTCTTATTACTAGTTGTTCATGAAGATTGGCTAGGGTTTTTTTTATTGATGTAATTAAATAAAATTAATATAACCTATTCAGGGAATGAGAATGACGTTATTTTGTTAAAATGAAGTATTTAAAATAATTAATTTTATCATAATAATTGATAGTATTTGGTCAAAGGATAATATCGTCACAATCAATAACAAGAACTAAGTGGTCAACTTTTTAATTATTTTAGGTTCTTGGATTTCATTTATGAAACTAAGAATTTTTAAACGCTTCTTACGTCCATAAAAGTTATAAATAACAATTTGAAAAAATGATAAATTAGTGATATAAACTAATTTTAGTAAAAATATTCTAAATAAATCTCAGATAATTCTAACTAAAATTGATAAGTTTTAATACATTAATGTATTATATTATTCCTATTAAACACAAAATTAAGTAAATATAGACCTGTGTTTGGAAGAAACGCATTATTTTCATAGGAACAAAGATTGAAACGCGTTCTTTTTCAAATATAGAAATGAAGAAACGCTATGATTTCTTTTTGTGAGGAACATGAATGCAAATTTCCGTTTCTCCTATTACAAAAAATAAATGAAACTAACGTTATTTTAGTGATAATATTGTCTAGAAATTATTAGTGTTGTTATCACTTCTATCACTTCGTCAGTTACTAATAAATTACTATAATGGTACGATGTATTATTTCCATTTTTATTAACATACAAAGTGCATACGTATGCTGATATAAACTACACTGTTGTATACTTCGATAATCGTGGAATAAATTAATGTTTGAGTAAACTGATGAATTTTTTTTTCAAATAATATATTATTTTATTTTTTAGGGTAGGAAATAAATTTAACTTAATTTATTAGAATTTTAAACGTGTCAATTCTACGAAGTAAGACTAGTTTCTTAGTTGACTTGATTAACTCACATTACACTTATTTGTACATAAAAAATAGGTATCTACACAAGTGTCTAGTGAGTAATGAATAACTTATAAAAATGTCAAATATATATGTGTTTTTAAAAAGAATTAATAAGTGATATTTTATAATTAAGAATATAAAAAGGAATTTTGGACTGCATTAGGTATTCATAAATAAACAAAAAATAACGAGGAACAGGAACGAATTCCTTTCTAAAAGGAACTTTCTCAATACTGGTATGTAAATATATCATTATTATTTAAAGTATATTTAATATTAGATAAATATATCTGTTGAAACCTATTTTGGTACCTGCGTAAAATAAAATTTACAATAGATCATATTTTAAGAATTCGATGAAAACTTTAAATCAAAAAATGTATAGGTAGGTAGCTCCCTATCCAGCTGACACATTTGTTATCATATTTCCTCCAAAACAATATGTATTGATATAATTTGGTATAATATTTAATTATTTAATTTAA